GGTGAGTCTCAATTCTAGTTTTCTAAGATGGTCCATAGGAATTTCTAGAGCTAGAACCTAGGCTCTAAGGAGGAGAAGAAAAGACCTCACAAAAATGAGGTCAACAAAGTCTTCTTAGACAGTTTGGTCACATTGAATGTCGACCTTCTAAAGATCCAGTTAGGAGAGTAGATGTCTTAAATTCGACTTAGATGTCTTAAATTCGACTTATGTTGAAGGAGGTAGAGGTAGACATAAATAAAGTCGGACATGGTGTATTAAAACTGGTCTTAATTTATTAAAATTAAATGAAAATATGACACTCAATTGGACACTATGGATAAATAGGACACACAATGATAGAATTGTGCTAGCTACAATGGTGGACAAGATTAGAAAGAGTCTTCTTAGACAGTTTGGTCACATTAAATGTCGACCTTCTGAAGATCCAGTTAGGAGAGTAGATGTCTTAAATTCGACTTATTAAAATTAAATGAAAATATGACACTCAATAGGACAGAATGGATAAAAAGGATTATATAGCCGACTCCACTTAGTGGGATAAAGTCTTGTTGTTGTTGTTATTGTTGTTATTGTTGTAATCTTTGAGCTTGTGCTTTGACTTGTTGCAGTGTTGGCATAGTGGTTTGTTGGTGTTTTGCTCCTTTACAGTTGAACCTTCAATATTTTCCTTAATAATTGCAAGTTGAGTTTTTTGTTTTGGGGAAAGTATACTCCTTTTCTTACTCAAATTGTATGGATTTTGTGCTAGCATTAAGAATTTTAGCAATTGGGAAAATTTGCGACTGTGTGAATGCTTTTATATTTCATCAACATAAGACTTCCCATGCAATAGAACTTCAAAAGCAACTTTCTAATTTCTAAATTCGATTTGGTATTTTTACGCAATTTGTCATTATCCTGCTTCAAACGTTGCCACCTTATGTAGTTTTTTTCATGTCTATTAGGATATAATTGAACATGCATTAATCTTTTAAATTCTAACCATAGCTTTTAGAATTTGAATTCCACCATACTAAAACATGCAAGGACGTTAAAATGAACAAATTTAATTTTTTTACGTATCAGAATGATCATAAATTGTGAAATTTGTTTTTAGATGCTTAACTAATTGCCTATTATGATAGCTTTAATTGTTCTATGTTAGCTCCAACCTTACCTCTACCAAATGATCGTCCATTTTTTTCTTGTTTTCTTCTACGTTCATCTTCTTATTGATGGATTCCCCTCCATAGGTTGATGTCTTTTATTAGATATTTTTCATTTTGTTTGGATGTGTGTTGGAGCAAGTGATAGTTGTGCTACCTAACAACAAGTGTTTCAAAAGCAACCATTATTGTCGGTAATTTTTGTATCCGTTGGCCATTTAGTATATAATCTGCTTGCTTGTTTGTTCTTTTATCCTGAAAATCCTTCAATTGTTTGTAATCTCTAGCTGTAGATATAAGGCTCTATAAAATAACCAATATATCCTACATAGTGTTTAATTTAACCTTTAAAATTATTTCTATCTGTTGAAATTAGAGTTCTGATTCCAAAATATAATCTTAAATTGGGTGTGTGAAGCTCATGAAACCGATGAAAGTATTTAGGATGAAGTAATTATGTTTTATATGGAATACATTAAGAATTAACTGTTTACTTATAATTCCATACGTTTTTATGCATTGATGTGATAGACTTGTGATTTCATGAATTATTTTTCTGGAAACACAGTTATGCCTAGATTTGCACGACAATTATCAAATACTTTATTTATTAATCAAATTTTTTCAATGTGGGCAGAATTTTGCATATCTGAAGTCCATACTCATCACTGTATGCGTGCAAATTTTTATTTAGGTTTTTTTACTTTTAGTATCTTGATGATTTAAGTTTTTTTTTTTGGAGTTCTGAAGTTTGATTGCCCTTTGCCCTATTGACACTGATTTGGTCTGATTGTGCATTTGGCTAGTGCTTTATTTCTTATTGTTATTGGGACTTGACATTTCACTGTACCTGGACTTTGGCTGCTTTAGTTTCTTTCTAATTTTGCTATGTTGCAAAGGTATGCACCCTATTGTGTACTTTTATCTGTCTTTCCCATTACCATAGAGTTCAACTACAGATTGTTTTCATTCTAAATGCACTCTAACACACGCTGAATCTTTTATCTTATTTCACATATATTGTACTATAACAAAAATCGATAAATTACTGTTTTGGACTTAGGTGGATTGGAAACCTTTTTTTTCTGTTTCTTAAGCATGATTCTTAGTTTGGTTTGAAACTGTCTTGATTGCGGTCTAGTTTTGCTAATAGATTTTGTCTCTAGGCATGTAAATCTCAGAACTGGCTTAATAAAAATTTCAATTTTCTGCCATACATTTTTGTACTAGCTGGATTAGTTCTTGTGTGCATTGTAAGTCTTGATGATTACTTTCGGAGGAAGCTTTCTCATTAAACTTTCATGAACCTGGATTAATACTTTGATGGTTTTTCTTTTTTCTTTTTTCCTTTTTATTTTTTGAGCTTTTGGTTTATTTGCATTGTTGGAATTTGGTCAAGTGTGTTATAGTATGGTTTTCCTTTTGCAGTATTAATCATAATTATTGCATTGCTTCATTCAATTTTCAATTTTGTTGCATATTTCAGATTTTTATTACATTTAAATCATTGTTTGGGGCAAGTTAAAGTGTTCTTGTTTTGCAACAGAGAAACAAAACTTTCCTTGAGAGTTAATGTGCTGCAAATTTGGACTTTTATGCATCTTTCTTAGAGTCGCATTAGTGAGACTCTAAACTCTTAAGACATTTTACATTACCCCTCCCCATCTAAAGAAAATAAAATCAGAAGAAAAGGGTTTTTCCTTTTGTCTTCATTAAAAAACCTTGACCTTATTGTTCTGTTGAAATATTCTTTGACCAGCCAATTTGTTACTCCATAGGAACCTGTAGTATTTCAATCTATTTTAGTTATAACATTTCTCTCTCAGTGAATCGTTTTAATTGAATCTTAAATTGATTCTAGCATTTTGATTTATTCAACATTAACCTTTTCGTTGAAGCCGTCTTAGTACCCAACATTGTGTTAAACATGCTATTTTGCTTATTTCCTTACTAAAAATTTATGTGTATCACATCAATAAGATAATAGTGTTAATTGTTAACTAATTAATTCTCTTCTCTTCCGTGCCTTTAACAAAGTTGTTTCCCCTTATGCGGATCACCATGTGGGTAAAAACTAGAAGGCTTGAATTTTTTTATGTTTGAGAAAATAAATAAAAAATCCCAATTACTTTGTGTTTGAAAACCAATTTATTTTTCATTTATGTACTTGAGCAATCTCTTAAAGTCAGGCCGCATACTGATTTATTGGCATATGTATTGAAGGTACACCATGTGGTTCACATAAATTAATTTGTAGTTAGAGTTTGAAAGTTGACGAATGCTAAATTTTTTTTCAATACTTATTAATATTTTTTAAATTTGAAGTGAGAATGAATTTTTGGATGACAGATAAAGTTTAGCAGCATACTTCAAAAGAGATTACCGGCTGAAGCTGGTATTAATGTTATCTGTGTTTCTCCAGGAATAGTCCACACTAATGTTGTAAGTCCTCCCGCTAACTTTTATTCTATTAAACCTGTACTGTACTATAGATGTATGTTCTAGTGCTTTTCCAATATGATTTGTGGCTCTAGGATGCTCGGCACTTCTGGGGAAAACTTATTTGAATGCCAGTCTAGAGAGTAAATGAATAAACAACTTCTAAGAAAAAGTTTTAACCCCATTATTCTCATTATATTGAGTAATGCTCTACTTCCAGTTAAATTTGCATTTAAAATGATATTATTTTGATGCTTGTGTCTAAAGGGGACGCTGATGAGAAGCCTATTCTCTTAACTCATCTGCATAAATTTTTTATATAAAAAATAATACACACACACACACACACACACATATATATATGTATATATATATATATATATTGTATGTATATATATATACATGTATGTATTAAGTGTGTTTCATGTGGTGTGGAGAACTATGCCCGAAGGAGTGTATTACATCCAGAAATTTACCCCATTCACTTTGAAGGATCAATTTAGAGAATCCTTTTATTTATCATTCAGCCTTTTTTTCTTTTCACTTGGCCACACTTCTTTTTTTATATTAGCTGTACTAGCTAATTCATGTATCTCTAAACGTAGGCGAGGGATCTTCCTAAAGTTTTGGTTGCAGGATATCATTTGATTCCCTATTTCATTTTTAATGCCCAGGAAGGTCAGTTTTTTCATATTCCCTCATCCTGTGAGCTCATAGCCTCATCTTTAACGACAAAACCAATGAAGTTTTTTTTGAAAAATGCAGGTTCAAGAAGCACCCTTTTTGCCACAACTGATCCTCAGATTTCTGATTATTGCGCAATGCTGAAAGATGATGAGTGGCTTGTTTGCCCCTACATCTCGCATGATTGTCGGCCAGCAAATGCTTCAGAAGAAGCTCACAATCTCGAAACCTCCCAGGCAGTGTGGGAGAAGTCTCTTGAAATGATCGGCCTCCCCTCTGATGCGTTGGAGAAGCTCATCGAAGGAAAAAATCTGGACGACTAATTATAATAGTTGTGCAACTAAACCATAGTATTGCAGGCATGTTCTGAATTATATGTTGTCAACAATCAGTATGAGAAGGCCCTTAAATTATATGCTGAGGTAAGTCTCCTTTTGTATTTAATATTCACAAAATTAGAATCAGGAGGATCTCGTGTACTTCTTACGGTTAATCTTATTTTTCTTATTTCTTTTTCATTTAATGAAGCTAGAGATATTTGATTTCATTGAAAAAAATAATCTGCATGATGCTTCTAAAGAGAAGACATGCTCCTATTGCTTTTACAAGATTAATACGGCGACTATATTTGATACGGTTAATCTTATTTTTCTTTATTTTTTTTCATTTAATGAAGCTAGAGATATTTGATTTCATTGAAAAAAATAATCTACATGATGCAACTGATGAGAAAGCATGCTCCTATTGCTTTTATAAGATTAATGCACCGATTATATTTGATATATCTGCTCCATCGGTAAAGTGTCAAATTTAAAGCTTAAGGTTTATTTTTTTGTTTATGCCTTATAGTTGACCATAACCTTTACATGGCACCTTACAAACCCATTTGTGCTTGCAATGGAAACTAACACAACAGTTTTTGGCTGGAAAATTCACAGCATAAGCTTGTTTTTTTATTAGGAAGATTTACATACATATTATTCAAATCCTATGTTTTGATATATCTAATATCTAAACTTTAATTTTACATTCATGCCACTTTACCTATGAATGAAAAGTTGTATTTTACTTGTTAAAAGTTAAAATGGTGGTACATTTGATGTGATATGAAAGATTTGGGTGGTACAAATGTAAAAAACAGTTTAGGCGGTAGGTTTGCTTGGTATGCATGTAAATGCCCCCATTTTATTATGATAGAAGCCATACGCGTTAACCATGATTCAAATAAAGGCCTCGTTAACTGATAGCTCCTTAAAATTCGGTAACCAGGCTAAAAACTTGAGCTTGTGGATTGAGGATTAAGAATTAATTCAATATTCTAGTTGGAACTCGTCTGTTTTCTATTGCAGATTATTTCTTTCCTCTGAAGGTTAACGTTATCACTTCATGATAGATCTATTTGCTGTTTTAACTAGGATGGCTTTTGAAAAAGTTTATTATTTTTTATATTCATTAATGACTTGGGCTCTTATAGAGCATTACAACTATAAAAAAAAACCCAGACATTTTCTAGATTTACTATTTACCAATAGGAACCTCGAATGGAGACAAATCTCAACACTCTCCTTAAAGACGTACAAAATATATTCACAAGCCCATCTTGTCACATAATCTTGACAAGCTAATGAGCTAAGTTCTTTGATGAGGCACTTAGCCACTTGCTCTCCAGTGGCTACATGACCTAGCTCCAGTATTTCGTTATTCAAATTTTTTTGATGAAGAACCTATCAATCTCTACATTTTTGGCTCTATCGTGGTGCACCAGGTTGTTGGCCATGTTGATTGTTGGACCATAATTTCATTTGAGCTCTTTGGTCCACCTTGAACTTTACCAACAAGGTTTTCAGTCACATTATCTCGACAACTTTTAAGGCCATAACTTTGTACTCTGTCTCTGTTGTTGACCTTGTTACTATTGATTGTTTCTTGCTCACCCGAGACCAAGTTGTCCCCTGCAAATATGTAATATCTTGATGTGGACCTTCTATCATCAGCACAACTCGCCCAGTCAGAGTTGCAAAAACCCTGAATGCCTATATGTTCATCCTTCCTGAAGATCAAACTCTTTCCTGGAGCACTCTTCACATATATTAGAACTTGATACGCCATGACCATATGACTCTTTCTTAGATCATGCATGTAGCGTTTCACCATGCTCACTGCAAATGAAATGTAGAGATGAGTGTGACTCAGATAGATCAGACGGCCCACCAATCTTTGGTATCTCTCACAATTAACTAGCTCTCATATCTCTCACTTAACTTGCTCTTCTGATCAATTGGAGAGACTTCAGGCTTGTATCCCAGAATATCTATTTCTATGAGGAGATTCAACACATACTTCCTTAGAGATAAGACCATCTCTTCTGGTGCACGAGTCACCTCAATCCCAAGGAAGTATTTGAGCTATCTAAGGTCCTTTACCTCAAATTCTTTGCCCAATTTTATCTTTAGTTGAGCAATCTTTACCTCATAATCACTAGTGATAATCATGTCATCAACATACACAACAAACAAGTGGTGTGACCTCTATTGACGAAAGAACAGTTATAGTCGACATTAATCTGCTGATATTCTATGCCCACCATAATTTTTCTAAAATCATCAAACCAGACTCGATGAGACTTCTTCAAGCTATAAAGTGACTTTCTGAACATGAACACCTTGCCCACTATTTGTCCAATACCAAATATTGGTGGTATCTCTATATACACCTCCTCAGTAACTCACCATGAAGAAATACTTCCTTCAAATCGAGTTGGTGTAACCTCCACCGACCATTCACTACCAGAGAAACCAGTGTCCTCACTGTGTTTTTCTTTGTTACTGGTGTAACAGTCTCGTCATAATCAATGTCATACATTTGACTGTACCATTTCACCACTAATCATGCCTTGTAACACTCTACTTTATCTTATTGTGATGATCTACTTGCAACCAAATGTTTTTTTTTTTCCCGCTAATAGTGGTACTATCTCCCATGTTTTGTTTTTATCAAGAGCACTATGCTCTTCATGCATAGCCGCCTTCACCTCTTTAGCTATTTGCCAGCACTTGAGTATAAAGACATTATCCAAAGATGCAATGAATGTTTTATGCACATATGATATGTTAGTGTATGAAACAAACTAGGCAATGCCATATTCCCACTCAAAACGGTTAGGAGAATGTTTTGCATTGTTGCGAGAGATCCTCTCTAAAGTCATGAGGTGGGAAGTAGAAAGAATAAGAATCATATCACCTATGTATTCTGAGTTTGAGATGGATGGATTAGGTGTCTCAAAAGTCGGGGTAGTCGTGACAAACGACTTGCTGGCACGAGTGACACTGCAGGAACTGTTCTCTCATTCTGCTTCATCATCCTTGTATACATCCTCAACTCCCATTCAGCCTAAATCCCACCACCTTCTGGTTCAATCTCTTTTTTAGGCTTCTCAGTTGATTCATCCCTCATCAAAGAACAAGACATCGCTCTCACATGTATCAATCTCTCAAAATCACTACCCACCACCTCTTGCCTCATACCTCTACTATCTGGCGAGTCACCAAAGGGTGAGATCCCCTCCAAGATGTTGTATGACTCAAATTCTCTAAAGGACACATCCATACTAACAAACAGTTTGTTCTTAATTGAGCTCCAACAAACATACCTCTTCTGGATAGCAAACTAATCCACGAAAACACACTTCACAATTCTGATATCCAGCTTTCGTACTGATGGTCTATTTTCCTTCATAAAACTTTCACAATGTCCAAGAGTCCCTTAATCATCTCATAACATCTCATATATTTCGTGGCAAAATCACTGTTAAAATCTTTCCAAATTGAATCTTTCAAGACCCCAGTATAGCTACGCCAAAAATGGCATGGTTATGCCACAGGGCAGTGTAATTACACCATAGAGGGCATAATTACTCCACCCTCTCTAATCTATTGTGTAACTGTGCCACTCTATGACATAATTGTGCCACTCAGTGGCGTAATTATGCCATATTTTCTACATTTTGGCATTTTCCATTCATGTCATTCATTTTGCTTCCTAAATTGTAATCTTCTATGTAGACTGCAAAATCCAATAAAAATATCTTTCACAACCGTATTATCATAATAATAATGAAATAAATCACAAAATTTGCAATGAAATATATCAAATATTTGAGTCGTATCAATCCATCCCCTACCCGACAAAAAGCGAGGGACTTGTGATTAATTGAAGCTTACGAGAATTTTGTAATCACTTGGAAGAAAACCTTTGGTACTTTTCATTTTATGCGAACATCTTCGAGTCTTTTCTTATGGCAGACCAATAATATCTCTATTGTTGGTTGTAGTTCTCAAGATTTTTTTTCTCTGAATGGTTTTTGCCTTCTCCTATGTGAATTTGTTGGAGTATTGCTACCGTTTCATCTTCCTTGATGCATCTTAATGAAAAAAATACTTACTGAATTTGTGATCAGTTTATTGTCGATAATGAAGTATTGGGTCGTGTAGTCCTGAACGTTCGAGGATTTGTTACTCTTGATGAAATTAGACTCATGGTTATGTATGTTTTGATAGAGTTAATCCAATTTGTAGTAGACAATAGCTCGGTGTTTAATAATATAAGTTCCTCGATAGTAGGTCGATTTAGAGTCATGTGTTATTTGGATTTCTCCTATTCACCCTTAGAGAGAAGGTGGGCGAACTGGTTTGTTTTCTCTCGAAATGTGCTCGATTCAGAAATATTCAAGTTTTCTGATTTGGCTTTAATCTTTAATAAATATTTTCAATGGATATGATCTCGTATCTCAAATACTCCATTCTTTTGATTAATTAACAACGGTGAGTTTTATTTAACAAGAAGGTATTTCAATCAATTGCTAATGAAAAATACATTATGATAATTAGCACTTTGTATCCATCTTGATTATTCATGCCTGCGAAACCTAGCACAATTGAATGAAACCATACCTACCCTTTTCTAGGTTTCTCAAGGCTCAGTCAACACAAAGTGTACAAGCTTATCTGTGATGCATGTTTCATTTTGGACTAGCTCTTAATAAGAAATTTGTTAGGAAATCGACCACCTGATTCTTGATCGCTGTCTTAGGAATAAAAGAAATATTGAACTCGCTCAGTTCTACTAGTATTTTAGTAAACCTTCCAGAATGGTCAGGCCATGATAACATCGATTTGAGCTAATGATCTGTGATCAAATTCACAATGTGTGCCTGAAAGTAATGACACAGTTTCCTAACTGAAACGATAAGAGCTAATGCGAGTTTCTCTATAATTATGTATCTCGATTCTGCTCCCTGTAAAAATTTATTCGCATAATAAATTAGAATTTATTTTTTTATCCTCCTTACAGAACAAAACTAAACTTACTGCTTCCTTTTTACTCCAAGGTATATGAACTTCTCTTTTGCTGGTATTGAACTTGCAATAGAGAAGGTGAGGCCAATAGTTTCTTCAATTGTTTAAACGTTAGGTTGCATTCTTCTGTCCAAGCATGGACTTCTTCATGATTTTGAAAGGAACATGTTTAGTCCTGTGATGTGACCAGTTAGTGTGCAATTCCTTAAAATGCCTTAATGGAGAAATATCTAAGATAGCTTGATCTTTTTCAAAATTCGCCTTGATTCCTTCAGACGTGAATAAGTATCTTAGAAATTTTTTTGATGTTACTCTAAAATACACTTGAGAAGATTAAGCTTTAGTTTGAGCCGTCTCAAAATGTAAAAAGTTTCTTTTAGTTATGCTATATGCTCTTGGAATTACTTTTTATGAGAACAACATAGATATACACTTCAATATTTTTTGCCTTTTTTATTTTGAAAAATAATATTCATGAGTCATTGATAAGTCACTATAGCGTTTTTCAAGCCAAAAGGCATTACATTATTGCAAAAGACTCTCTTTATAATGATAAAACTGGTTTTTTTAGCAGATGAATGATACATTTTTATTTGATGATATCCTATGAAGGTATATAGAAAGCTCATAATTGAGTTTTGTATTGTTGAATGTACTGAAGTGTCGATTCGAGGTAGGGATGGTTGTCCTTAGGGCAAGTCAGATTCAAGTTGGCAAAGTTCATGCACATTCTACACTTGTTTGCTTTATGAACTATCACCACATTTGCCAATCGGTTCGGATATTGAATTTTCGGATGAAGTCGGCTTCCAGGAGCTTCTGGACCTCTTATCAGATAGCTTCAACCAAGGTAGTGGCCACTGCTCACATCTTTTGTTTGATAGGTCCGATGTTGGCGGCAAGCAATATCAATATCGACTCTAGGCATCAATCACATATGCAGTCCATGCGAATACATTATGATGATTTCTCAAGATTGAAGTCGAGTACTCTTTATGGCTGCAAGCTAAATTGGAGATGATTTGAAATGTTGGGAACATTCGCTTTCACAAATAAACACTTGCTTAGTGACCTCGATGGTTTCCAAACTGATTTTTTTATACATATCGAGCTTAAGTGGGTTCTTGTACACGTTCCAAATTGCTCGCAGGTAACATGTTGGCAAAGTTCATGCACATTCTCCACTTGTTTGCTTTATGAACTATCACCACATTTGCCAGTCGGTTCAGATATTGAATTTTCGGATGAAGTCGGCTTCCAGGAGCTTCTGGACCTCTTATCAGATAGCTTCAACCAAGGTAGTGGCCACTGCTCATATCTTTTGTTTGATAGGTCTGATGTTGGCGGCAAGCAATATCAATATCGACTCTAGGCATCAATCACATATGCAGTCCATGCGAATACATTATGATGACTTCTCAAGATTGAAGTCGAGTACTCTTTATGCCTGCAAGTTAAATTGGAGATGATTTGAAATGTTGGGAACATTCGCCTTCACAAATAAACACTTGCTTAGTGACCTCGATGGTTTCCAAACTGATTTCTTTATACATATCGAGCTTAAGTGGGTTCTTGTACACGTTCAAAATTGCTCGTAGGTACATATCGAGCTTAAGACAGGCCTCTTGCCAAATGGCCTTGCTTTTTTTATGTCACTCTTCTCGAAAATCTCCAACTTTTGGTGGCGAGTGGTACAGAATGTCATTCCAACAAAAGCTTGGCTCCTAAAATGCGGCCTAACAGAGGCAGCCCTTTGCCCTTGGGGTTGTCAGGAGATTAAGAACTGATCCCACATTGTGTCCAGTTGTTTGTTGTTGAAGTCGGTGGCACAAAGCCTTGCCAATTGGGGGTTCTCTTTGCCAACATTTGCTAGCGTTACGGATGCCCTCCGTGGGCTTACTCAGGTTTGCACCGCTGACATCCCCTCTGCCCGTATGTTTTGTTATGCAGTTCACCATTGTTGGAGAGCTAGGAACGTGAAGGTTCATGGTCAAATGCATGGCACTCCGGTAACTCTTGCTGTCTCCATCCTTGAAGCCCTCACCTTACCGGTGTAAGCCCGTTGCAAGGCTACTGAACACTGCTTGAAAGAAAGCGCAGTGAAAAGTAGTCCCGACTTCTTCTTTAGGTGAAGCACCTTCCTAATAAAAGAAAGGGAACCCGTCGATAGTTGATTCTATCATGTGAAGGTTTTGGAGCTAGCTGGGCACCTATACAGGTAGATGTGGTAACACACTACATTGTATAGATAACCTAGGCCTCTAGGTTCGGTTACATGCAGTGGAAACGGGTCAAACCATGACACTGTTGCGGCCTAACTAGAAGGTACTGCCATTGCGGCGTCTTCTAGAGGCCTAAGTTATCACATTAAATACATTGAGCACTGGTCTACTGCAGATGGTGTTGTAGTCAGGGCATCCACCATTATGAAATATGTCATGGACGTGTATTTCTTATCTACCTCTCCCCAAGTTACTAGCAAAAAGATGACTCTGCAGGTCTCCTTTCTCTCTTGTGAGAACTCATAATGAGGCCCCAAAGTTGGAGTGAGTTGAGGGTTGTCATATTCATCTTTTGGAATATTTTCTCGAAAAGGATGCTGACGAAACTTCCCATATTTGCTAAAATAGTTTTAATTTGATGATTTCCAATTTTTGTAGTAATAATAGGGTCGTTAAAAGGGTTCACACCCTCGAGTAAGTCAACTCCGTGAACCTGATCCGCGGACGAACCTAAGTGGTAGCTCTAATCAAGCTGACGGTCTCCTGATTTTATTTGCTTCAAACTCAAAAATTTTGTAGCTAAGGTTCGTCCACGTCAAAGTTGGCGGGTACAACGCCGCAGATATGCACAATTGTGGTGGTAAATGGTCTGTTAGAAACAACTTTGACGGATGCCTTTCCTTGCATTTGAGTATGGGCTTCTGGTGCAACAAATTCTTTCACTTTTCCTACTCGGATTAATTCTTCGAACATGTTTCAGATATGAAAAAATTCCTCAGTATTATGCCCAAGATGATAGACACAACATTGATTGAAATTGCATTATAATCTCTAGACTATCATCAATGGAGGCCTCTTAAAGAATTCTTTATTCTGGACAGCCTTTACGATCTAAGCCATCGATACTCACAAAAGAGTGATTTCTAAAGTTGACGGTGGAGATGTAACCTGCCTCCTCTCTAGATCTTTCACAATAAGCCTTTGATTGGACAGCTTCGGTTGTTGTTGTTGTCGAGAACTTCTTCTGAGGACACTCGTTGTTTGCTTCTGCGAATTGGGGTTGAGTCCCAGATGTTTATGAGAATTTCTTTTATGGAATTTCTTCTCGTTTTTTATATTAGAGGGGTTCAATAAAGAATTATATTCTTCCATCGAGATATAGTCATTGGTTAACTCCAAGAGTGTAGCTAAAGTTTTTTAGCTTTTGTAAGTCAAGCACATATCAGAATGGGCCTTCGCGTCGACCCTGTGTGAGAGGTGTACGAGCGATGGATGGCTCAAAATTTTTTATATTAAGCATCACACTCTGGAATCTAATAACGAAGCTCCATATGCTTTCAAATGGAGCTTGTCAGATCATTAGCAAAGCTTGAGAGCTTTTTTACGACTTTGAGTGTTGAAAATTAGATTATGAACATTTGTTTAAATTTGCCTAAAGAGAGAAAACACCTTGCAAGAAAGTTATTGAACCAACACAAAGCCAACTTCTTGAGCATTGTGAGGAATAAATGACACTTAAAGGTGGATTTACTTGTAGCTGACAGACTGCTAATTTAAAAGAGGTTACATAATCAATAAGATCAGTTCTTGCTTTATAGGAGTCTAGGGAAGGGATTTTGAACCTCATAGAGGATTTTGCTTTAGTAAATTCTCAGGAGAATGCCTCTCTAGCAATCTTCTCATTCTTATTCTTCACTCTTCCTCTTTCCTCATATTCTGTGGACTCCAACGTCACCTCTTTGTGAATATACAACACATTATCATTATCTTCCTCTTCTTCTTCTGATGTTGGAGCTAGGGTTGCTCTCGCTCTAACTCGAAGTGCCTCCTCTCTTTGTATCAGTCTCTTTGTTTTCTGGTCTGTTCGATGATCCAATTTCTCTTTCCGAACGGTTTAACACTTCTTGCCTTAATTCTTCCATGCTCTTATTCATTTTCACTCTGAGTTCATTTATTGGTTGCGTCATAAATTCTCTGGTGCAATTCATCTTTGTTCTTCGCCCTTCCTTGAAATGAAAGATCTCCCTATTGGATTTTTTTGAACGAGTTCAATGCTCACCACACTTATTAGGATGTTGAATCCTTTAGGGACGTGGGATCATATGTATAATTTGTCATAATAGAATCCTGGAGACACCTTTCAGGATGTTAAATCCTTTAGTGGAAAGAAATTACAGAATTCTTTTAGAGCGATAGTAAGAGTTTTTTGAGGGTCGAAGATATGACCCCTCTTCCATTTTTTTTCTTATATATATATTTATGTCATAGAGCCTATGCACTCGTGTAATTGTCTAAAGAGTGAATTAAAAAACCAGGTTGTAGGTCGTATGTTGACAAGTCCTCTGATGTGAATTGTCATGCTATTAATAAATAAGAATGTATGTCGACTGCATGGTGTTCTCTTTCTTCTACCTCGAAAACTTGTCCGTTGAGTTTGATGGCGTAGCTACGTATTTTTCAACGTGTTTGGTGGAGAGGTTCAACCATTCAACGCAAGCTTAAAACAAAAACTTGGGAAATGTGAGTGAGCTCGCTTGAAGCAAGCTTAACGACCCCATTCACAGGAACTCACAAAAATGTTGATATGCTTCGGAGGTACTCATGGACTCGTGAGATACCAAAAGTACGACTAGCAAATACAATCGAGTCCTGATTAACACCTGACCTGTAAGCTCAGTCCATTAAATCTAGAAACCCTTTTTGTATTTATACTTTCCCGTTTTTTAAGGAAACCATATTCACATATACAATATCTAAAAAAATTATTCAATTTATACCAAAAACAAGTTTAACCAAATCAAATTTAAGATGCATCATGATTATAATAAAGAAAAGGCTTAGATATACCTTGTATATTTTTCCCATGCCAATATGCATTATAGAATAGAGAGTTAAAATAAATTGCATCAAAGTTAACCTAAATCCAAAGAAAGTGATAAAATTAATGAAATTATTTCCCAAACATCAAGCTCACAGAACAATTAAAATCATTAATTACATAATTAGTCATTACGTGTTCCAATCTTCCAACAATAAACTATACAACTTTTGAGAGAAACTACCATCGCAAGGATGCAGCTTCCCAGACACAGCTAAAAAAAACTAACTCAAGCTAATCCAGACCAATACTAAAAACCCCACATTAACCTCCACGTGTCATTCCCTCGCTCTCTCCCCTAGTTTATACCCCAAGTGCAACATAAGACAAGTGCCCTAAACAACATCCTAACTATACTACTAGTGATAATAATTACATATGTAAGAAACCAGACCAACGTACTAGTGCGACGGCCTCTGAATGGGCCCCACCGTAGAACGGAATCCCACCGTCACCTTATCGTACACGCAGAAGTGGAAATCATCCGACCGTCCACGCGCCGCCGCCAGGCACCCCTCACAAATCACCAGCTCCACCAACTTCTCCGCCGCCGCAGTGATCATCTCCCACGTACTCGCCTCCATAGCCGCCAATTCCGATGAAGCTGCCGGATCCTCTCCCGCCGCCCATTCCGATGAAGCTGCTCTCCCGCCGCCAATTCCGATGAAGCTGCCGGATCCTCTCCCGCCGCCAATCCCGATGAAGCCGCCGCCGGATCCATAGCCGCCACTTCCGCTGCCAGCGACGCGCAAGCCATCCCCGTCAACATCAGATACATTTTCCTCTGCATATACCGTAGCTGCCTCTCGTAATTCCAAAACCGCTGCCCCACCGGTCCGGGAACATCAATGGCCGAAGATCTCTTCAAGATCGTCTTCTCCGGCACGATTATCTCCGCTTTCGCCGCCGCAGCCTTGCCTCGCTCGCCGCGGCGCCGCACTCTCGCCTTCCGGGACCCCTTCGTAATGGCAAGGATGTGGCAGTCTTTCTGCTCGGCAATCGATGCGAAATCGGACGATTCGTGTATTGGCAACTTACGACGGAGCTCCGGCGAGGCGGTGATCATCTTCCGACGTACCAGATAGGTGGAGATCCGGTGCGGGGAGATCCCGACCTTCTGGCTTATGAGGGAGATGAAGACATTGAATTGTAGAGATGGGTGGACGAGGATGTCGCCGGCGTCGAACTCTAGGCCGCCGTCGAAGAAGATGAGAGGGAATGAAGCGGAGTCCATCTGATGCGAAGGGTTGGGCGGATTGCGGGAGTGAAGTTTAGTGGGGTTTTAAGGGTGGCGGTTTCTTCTGGTATCGCACGTCGTGGGGGTAGATTTGGTAAATAAGGTAAGTTTCTGGAGGCGGTGGGATTTCGTGCGCAGCAAGACGCTTGCTCTGGTGCGCTATTTAAATATATTTTATTTTAAATAAGTATATTAATAGTAAATAACTTTTATTTTATTTTAAAAATTAAATGTTATATATTTTTAATTTTAATTGTCTCCGATAAAATTTTAAATATAGGCATAATTTTTAAAATAGATATTTTTTAAATTTAATTTAACGAACAAATCGTGCTAAGTAGCAGGATTTGATCGCCTTTATGGTTCCAAATAAAATTAAAAAAAAGAAAACAACAGACCAAATCGTGCTACGTGGCACGATTTGATGGCCTGTATGGAACCACGTCATGACATGTAAGCATTATATATAATAATAATAATAATAATAATAATAATATAAATATAAATATTTTTTAAAAAACTTAATTTGAAAGGAAAAATCATTTTTATAAATTATATATAATTTTAAAAGTAGATTATATTATTTGAATAAATTTAATTCTAAAACTTATTTGTAGTCCTTTGAATTGGAGCCAAAGACAGGCGGACTTGTTTATTATTGAAGAGAAAATATTTTAGTTTTGTCATCATTTCCCAACAGCTCTATGTTAATGGTGATAATTTAATAATTTCAAATTCAGACTTTGCTGTCACTATACTCTTTAAGTTTAGATACTTAGAGTTGAATGACTATCATTAATCAAAAGTGCTCTCTCGATTTTGGGATCGGTAATTAATCATAGGGACTTCGCGTATAAAAACTTCAAATCTCATGTCCTAAAATCCCCATACAATGAGAGCAAACTCTCTTGGAAGTTTCTTAGGTGTTGTCCCATCTACTTTCTTAAAATTAAACGTGGAAACTCAGGTTACTCCCTCGCCCACATTCCCATTTATTATCAATCAATTTTGGAGGTTGGTCGAGGTATTTCAATTTTTTGGAGCCCGCAATATATTATTCGATAGTTTTAAAGTGTTAACAAGTCGTATGGACAAACACAACCGAGATTGTGGCATATAAATTAATAATGAAAAATAGAATTTATATTTCTTGATTTCTAATTGTACAAAGAAGACTGATATTTATACAAGAAGCCTAAGACTAGAATCAAGGCCATTAGCATTATCAAGACTATTAATGTCATTGATTCCTTTCCTGCAATCACATTAACATAAAATTTTTTTTATTAAAATGAATGGGTTCATGTCACTAATATTTATGATCATAATTATTAGATACTCTTTTCACAAATTTTGTTATGTATTTAATAAAATGTCTATTCTTATCATTCATATTACATGCTCCTATTTTTTGTCCTTTATACATTTGAAAATAGTAATTATTTATAAAATTTGATTTGTCACTCAATGATATTTTTTGCATGACATGTTTCATTCAATCACTTAGATGACAGTCTCCATAAAAGCAAATATTCCAACTTTAGATTTTCTTTTAGATATTTTTATTTTTTTTTTTGTTTTCGTTATTATATTTTCTCTTTTTGGGATTAGGTTGTTGTTTACTTATTGTCATTTCAATTTGTAGTTTGTTTCAGTAAATCTTTTTTTCAATTGCATAATTTGAATTATTCTTTATAAAATAAAATTATCTTTTCTTGCTAATTTTTGTTATTATTTGTTTATAATCTTTCAGTTTAAATCATTTCATCACACCCTGTATTATCAGGGTGTCCCATTTTTCGGACCTATGGTGCGACGATGTCCCCACCATAAATAACCCGAGCCCCACTTCTCACCCTATCTCTCTTCCCAATCATCAATCCCAATCTCAACATTTCTTTGTCATTGGAAAAATAAAATAGCACCCTCAATTTATCCTAAACATATAATTAGAAAGAATAAATATATAGAAAGACTTTGTTATATTATTTTATAAACTCATAATATTTTAAATTTGAGAAAATGATTAGATGCAGATTGGGGATATTCACGTGATATTGTGCAGAATACCACCACAAGAGTACATGAATACCACCAATCCGCACGTACATAAAATATTTCATCCTAGAACTATATCAATCCAAAGCAATATTTCCCTCTTTAGTGTATCTGCAGCCAATATATACATATTAAACCAGATACCAAAATCAACAATGCAGAACCCCTAGCAGAACCTAATTCATATCCAACCTCAAGCTCCAACACGCTTCTTCAATGGCCGCTGGACGAATCCCGCCGAGGTACGAAAACCCACAATCACCGGATCAAGCACGCACAAGTGGAAATCATCGCGCCGCCCTTCTTCCTTCGCCGCGACGCACTCCTTACAGACCAACTTCGCCGCCGCAGCATCCCTTCCCGACGAAACCCTCGTCTCCGATTTCATCACATCCATCATCGTCGCCTCTTGTTTTTCCAGGACGACTGCTCGCGGAACATCGACATTGACTGCGTTCGTCGGAAACCTCTTCAAGATCGTCTTCTCCGGCACGATCGACTCGCTCGGCATTGTGCCGCAAATTCTTCCCGCCGGAGCGCTTCTGAATGGGGAGGATGAAGCAGTTCCTCTCTTCGGCGATTGCCGCGAAATCGGACGATTCATCAATGGGGATGTTATGGCGAATTTCCGGCTAAAATCTGGGGGGTTCATGGAGGGGAGCTTTTGCAGCGCTGTGATGTGCGGTATTGGAGGTGTTTGTTATATGGGCAGCGCATTGGCTAATTTTGGTGTGGTGGATGAACTTTCCTGGAGCGGATTTGTTGCTGAGTATTAAGGCCCATCGCCCTGCTGTATTCCATGATGATCTGGTATGATAAATATAGGAATGTGAATTTTGCTCCGAGATTGTTAATTGTTAGGAAAATTAATTTAAAGAAGCTCGAATCGAAATGAATCAAGTTGAGCTATGAGTCAATTTGGATCGAATTCTTTTTGAGCTGATTTTGAGTCTTGCACTTATCGGCCTGATTTGGCTCGAGAATAGTTCGAAGTTTTTTTATTTATAAAAATTATAGGTAATTCTAAATAAAATTAAATATAAGGAGTTACAGGCAAATATTGAGCTGGAACGGAGCCAAATAACTCGATTTGATCAAGCTTGTTTTGATATTGTTGGATTGAATTGTGTTCAAGCAGGAACAGATCTGAATAACTCAAGTTTGAGCCAATTTGTTTTTTATTTCAAGCAGAATCGAGCTCGATTCAATTTTGAGCAGAAATTACTTGAAATTGAACGTAAGGAGCTACAAGCCGATTTTGATTCAAACACAATTCATTTAATTTGATTTCGCGCAGACCTTAACTAGGCTTGACATTAGCTCGTTAAAATCCACCCTGATAACAATGGATTTGGGTGCTTTTAAGTGAGTTCTGTTTTTAAATCTAGTGAGATATATTATAATTTATGTGGTTTTAATTTCTTGGACCAGCCATTTTAGTTAGAGATTATATATATATATATATATATATATATATTAATTAAAAGGAATATTCAGAGGTCATTATAAAATCCATCAACCACTCCTAATGTGTCTTACAATTCGAGTACCACCTATTACATATATTTACACACACACGCGTACACATAAAATTTGGGAAAATTTTAAAATACTTCTTGGAGGTGCAATTTTGTTAACAATCTAATACTCCTTGCAGGTGCAATTTAGAGGCAATTTGTGAAATTTATAATAATAAAAAAAAAACTTCCAATCTAGGGCGAAGTACCAGTTAAGTGTGAAAAAACGTGAACTCGTCTGGAGAGTTAATTTTTTTTTAAAATCGGGGCTCTCTGTTTGCAATATATCCCGTCCTGTAGGTACACAAAAGACCTGTTGCGTCTTTTGATATTGCGGGTTAAATATTATTTTTGTTTCCACTTGTGTCGTTTGAGACCACCGGATGAAAATTATAATTTTGCCCCAAACCACAGTGTTATATGACACTGAAAAGCGATTCTTCTGAGATAGCTGAGAAGGTCAGCTTTCTCCCGTATCCCATAACGGGAGTTGATGTTGGGAGGCTGACGTATTTTTGGATGATTTGGACTTTCAATTTAAAATTTTAAAATGATCAAGTTAATAAAATATCATAAAATTAAACCGATTTGTTTTTTAAAATGATTGAAAAACTTGAGCTTTAAAAATTTTAGGCTCTCAGAGTTTTAAAATATCGGGGGCCCAGACTTTTATATATTTAGGCTATTTAAGTTTAAAAGCATTCAAAATTCTAAAGCTTTAAAATTTTTAGGCTCTCGGTCTTTTAAAGATAAATTTTTTTTTTCAAACTTAAAATTCTAAAGTTTAAAATAGAAGTCAATGAGAACTTTAAAATTTAAATCTCAATGGTTAAATTAAACCTAAAGTTGAGCCTTCAAAATTAAGAGTTTAATCTCACGGACAAAAAGTCTCACATCGGCTAGGTGTAGGGCCGAAAAGCAGTATTTAAGTCATCGACTGCCCACCACCCTGAAGAGCTCTTTTGGGAGGTGACATGTGGTATCAGAGCAGATTACTGCCTTTACTGCCTGTCAGGTGTGGTGTGTGTACTATCCATGGTCCAGTGGGACCCTCGATGGAGTCGATCCGTGACTAGGGCGTCACATGATTGGGTGGAGAAAAATGTCACGGACAAGTAGTCCCACGTCGGCTAGGTGTAGGGCCGAAAAGCAGTATTTAAGTCCTCGGCTGCCCACCACCCCGAAGAGCTCTTTTGCGAGGTGACATTAAGGTTTACAATTAATCCAAATTTAAGATTTTTAAATCTAAACTCTCAATTCGAATCATTTGAATTAATCCAAATATTAAGTATTGGTGCTTTCAAAGATAACCTAATACATTTGGAGGGCTTAGCTTAATTTAAAGTTGAAGCACCAAAATTAATAAGGCTGAGCTTAATTTGAAATTCAAATACATTGAATCGAGGAGCAAGGTTCGATTTAAAAGAAATCCGTCATCGAATTCTCAATATATATGCTAGCAAAGAAAAGGCAGCGCTTTTTTGAAGGCCTAAAATCATAATACTTTTGAAATATTATAAGCAGCAAATGACTTTAAATTTTATAAAATCTCGTGGTTATTCACTAAGTCAAATGTGATACCGTGAAATGTGAGACCATCCTTAAGACTTCGAAGGTTCCACTTGAGATATTTTGTAAAGTCAATATTAAGTTTATGACTTAAAATTCATGCAAGTCTTTAAAGCTTGTAAAAAGATATTCAAATATGTGAAATTTAAATGCTCGCATGTGCTCAAACCAACATATTAAACGTTTAAACCCAAGGTTCAAGAATGTTGTGTGAGCTAATCGGGTTGTCTTGTCTATAAAATAGGGTTGCAAGTCCCACCCCACTAGTTCTATCCTCCTACATATAATGATAGAAGTCGATAGGACTTATACTCTAAAAGTCTAAACTGACAAAACTAATTGTCCCCCCTTCAAATATAAATGTTTTAAAACATTTAAAACCCTTATTATGGTCATGTTAATTGAAGATTTCAACTGGAGTGATCAATCTTTTAAAATCAAACTTTTCAAAATAACCAACAAACATGCTAGCAAAATTCAAATCACTTAAAAGCTAAAACAAAATATATCCGCTCTCCGTAATAGTTTGTCAAGGATGACAAACCTTTGATTGACTTCAGTTCACAAAGAATAAATATCATATCAAATGTATCTATATATTCACAATCAAATCAGTTTAATGTCATCAAAAACGTAGCCCGAGTCCACTGTCCGCGTGGTTCTGTCGTCGAATGACACCACAAAGTAGCGGTTATGATCAAAGCCCTATGACCGGGTGGTTACCGCCAAATGACACCATTATATTACGGTCACGGTTGCAGCCCATATATTTCTCAATAGTTTTCTATCTTTTGAGTTGTGAATCATAAGAGTACAATTGATTGACACGAAACCTTTTGCTAGCTAAGATCGACTTAAATTGATCCCCTAAGGCAAACAATCACCACAGATCTACAAGGATCTCTTGAACGATATAACTCATGGTTGCTGATAAGAATGTTTCTGTTAGATTGGGTCGACTATCTCCTCTGACTAAGTAGATCAAAGACCACAACAACCAGGGATGACAGAACTATAGGATCTTGATCAGATTTTGTCTTCATTTCCCTACCATACATTTTAAGCTTCAAGTGATGAATTCTATAATTTAAATCCTAACTTTGTTGCTATCATATGTTAAATATTCAATTCTTAATGACTAGTTTTAATCAAAAGTGTTCACTAGTTATCAGTAGGGGTAATTAACCATAAGGGCTTATGTTTATGAGAAACATCAAACCCCGGATCAAAAAATCCTTGCAAAATGAGGGTAAAATCTCCGGGTAGTATCTTATCTATAATTTAATCTTTCCTCTGAAAATTCAACCCTCTCTCTCTCTCTCTCTCTAAAAATAAAATAAAGAGTTCACAGGGCGCAGTAGAGAATTTTCTGAGCCCACAACACAAAATTTCAGATTTACTTGCATCACACTCAAATCTTTAATATTACATCAAAAATATCATTTTCATCGTCATTTTAAAAGTGATGCATATTTTCATGCATAGATCTAAGAGACCAAAGTGATATAAATATATCAAATTTTACTTGTCAGGTATGTAATTAGATAAGATTTTTTTTTTCATTTATTGTAAGTCAACCACGTAAACTCAATATACATTAAAAGTCTGCAACGTCCCTCTAATTACAATGGCTTCAACAAAAGACCAACAGTTTTAGTTATTATCAAAATTAATATTAATTTGTTTTGGTTTTAAGAAGGGGAACTGAACCGTTGTATTTTTGTTTGACAATTGTGGAGCAGATCTCCAGTTTACTCTGATTCAAAGCTCCAACTTTATCATGACCTGATTAATGGAGAGAGGTTGTTCTCTTGACGTTACTGATCTAACTGCTCGACCATTAACTTGCATCTACGTGTGTGTGTATATATATATATATATATACAATTTGAGCTTCTCGATTCAAGGAATGGAGATGGACGAAACAAGAGAATGTGTATCCGAGAAGAAGACAGTGGTGGTAGTGGGCGGCGGAGTCGCCGGAGCTCTCCTCGCCAAGCTGATCCAGAACTATGTCCACGTCACCCTCATTGATCCGTAAGAAATATTTTTCAATTATTATCTGCTTCATGTTTCTCCTAATAGAAGGAAAGGTAAACAGATTATGGGGGTGTTAGGTAGCATGAAATAATCATAAATCCAGCCAAGTATAAAAGCATAAGAAATTTAAATCATGCAATCCGTTAAATCGGATATTCTTTCTTCCGTCTGTTTTTGAACGTAAATCCGGACTTACTAACACCATAGCTCGGGAGCTTTTCTCGATCAAATATGAATTTGATAAATCCAAATTTACTAAATCTTATTGAACGAAATCCAGAGGGCAGCCAAACACCGATCTTACGTTTATTGTTTATAATTGCACTGAGCATAAATTATCTATAGCCTTTAGCTTGTTTATAACTGTACTGCATCTGTACATATTTATGTTCAATACAGGAAGGAGTATTTTGAGATGCCTTGGGCAAATTTGAGGTCAAAGATAGAGCCAATGGTTGCCGAGAGATCATTAATGAACCACTCGGCTTACTTGACTAATGGAGAAATCATAGAGTCATGGGCGAAGAACCTTACTGAGGCAGAGGTCCTGACTTCAGATGGCCATATTGTGCCTTATGACTATCTCGTTATAGCTTCCGGCCATGTTGTTAATCTTCCCAGAAGCAGGAGAAGCAGGCTTGACCAGTTTCAGCAAGGCATGATTTCTTTTTTTATCCCTCTCCTTTCTTCCATGGTTTCATAATATATGATTTTGAGAAAAATTTTATGTTTTTCAGAGGCAAAAACCTTTCTTTTATGATGCTTAGTATGCTGTTTAATAATATTTTAATAAAACAAGCTTAATTGGGCTGTCAATTTAGATCAAAGATCATTATTTGTGTGGAAATTGATTCGAATTTTGGTACGGATTGAGATTGGATTGACTTTTTTCAAGCCTATTTTGAGCTCTTATTAGCTCGGCTTGAAATTGGATTGTTAACAGCCATTAGGGGTGCAAACGAACCGAACACGAGCAAACAAAGCTTATGCTCGTGTTCGGTTCGTTTGAAATTTAATTTGCTTGAAATAAGCACGTATTCGAAATTGTTCATGAGGTCACTGTTCGTGTCGTTTCTTAACGATCGAGTCGAACACGAGCTGTTCGGAAACGACGAACCAATTTGACATCTCTAATATTAATATATATAAATAATATATTATATTAATTATATAACTTGTATTATATAAATATATAATATTTATATTAGTATATTACTAATATAATATATTAATACATTATAATTATTAATTTATCATATATTATAATTTATAAATTTAATTTTTAAAATATCATAATTTTTTTGTATATAATTATTTTAAATTATTTTATATTTCAAACAATAACGATTCAAACACAAAAGAACTTATCACTGTTCATGTTTTGTTCGTTTAACTAGCCGAATGAAAAAAAATTGCTCACGTTTGTCTCGTTTATTTATCGAACGAATCGAACACGAACTCATTGACAAACTGAACACGAACTGTTCGCGAACGAGCTTTTTTTGACAGCCCTAACAACCATAGTGGTGCTATGTCTGTGAATTTAGCGAATGTAGCTTGAAGAACGTTAGTCGCTCGAACATTAATTCGAATTTTGGCTTGGATTGAGATCGGATTGAAATAAACGAGCCGAGCTACGAGTCAAAATTTTGGATCAATTTTTTTTCGTGCCGGTTCTCAGCTGACAACAACTTGGCTCGAAATTGGATCGTTAACAGTCTTATTGATATTAGGGTTATGAATTTAATGAATTTAGCTCGAAGATCATTAAATCACTCAAAAATTGATTAAAATTTTGGTTTTGATCAAGAGTGGATCGAAATAAATAAGCAATGATATGAGCCAAAATTTTGGATCGAATTTTTTTCGAACCAACACTCCTTGAAATCAGATACTTAACAGCCCTAAAGCTTACCTGTAACATAATATATTCAATTTGGAAAGTCTTACGCAGTCATTAAATCCACAGATAACGCAAGGATAAAGTCTGCAAGATCGATTCTAATCATCGGAGGAGGGCCAACAGGAGTGGAGCTCGCCGGAGAAATCGCATCAGAAAGCCCAGAAAAGAACATAAGCTTAGTTCACAGTGGCCCGAGGCTTCTAGACTTCATAGGACAGAAATCAAGCCGCAAAGCTCTCCAATGGCTTCAATCAAAAAAAGTTCAAGTTTTTCTCAACCAATCCATCGATTTACAGGCTTTGGAAGAAGCGAAGGGAGAGTACGAAACCTCAGCTGGAAAGAGAATTAGTGCTGATCTCCATCTTGTCTGTGTTGATAGACCGATGGGCTCTGAGTGGCTTCAGGAATCCTTCTTAAACGATCAGGTGGATGAAAGTGGAAGGTTGAAGGTGGATGACAACCTCCGTGTTGTTGGTCATAAGAATATCTTCGCCATTGGAGACATCACTAATGTTCCTGTATGTTTCATTCCTGCCATCTTCGTGTTCCTATATCTAAGTTTTATTTGTGGTTTGCTATTATTGTCTATAAATGCAAAAGGAATAGATCTGTGAGAGAGAGTTAGTGCAGCTCCAGTGACAGACAAGATTAGAGAGAATCTTCTTATATGATTTGGTCACAGGAGAGTAAATGTTTTAGATTTAACTTATGTTAAGAAAGGCGAAAACATACCTAAAAAGACTTCAGTATACTATATAAAAAATGATCTTAATCTATTAGAATTGAATGAAAATACGACACTTAATAGGAGTCAATGGAGAAAAAGATTACGTAGCGAATCCCACTTAGTGGGATAAAGTGTTGTTGATGTTGTTTGTTATTATTGTCTATCATGATTTAATTACTTCAATCATTTGATTAATTTGTACCTTTTTATAAAAATGCTTTCCGATCAATTTCTGTTTTCATGCAGGAACTGAAGCAGGGATTCTCGGCACAGCAGCACGCAATGGTTGTGGCAAAGAATTTGAAGATTTTGACGAGGAAAGGTAAAGAGAAGAGGCTGAATAAGTACAGGCCATTGCCCAAAATGGCTGTTTTTTCCATGGGCAAGAAGAATGCTTTGAAGCAGGGAGTCATAAAATCAAGGGATTTGTTCTTGTTTAAGACCAGAAGATTGATGGGACTTGATCGCCATTCCAAGAGATCGGTTACCTCTGCTTCTGATGAGATATCAGAAGGTTTAGCTGATTAAAACTGTGGTAGTTGTTTTAGTTTTGTGAAGAGGAAAATAATTTGCTCTTGAGAGTTTCTGTTTATTTATTTTTTAGGGTTTAGAGGGGTTGTTATATTTGTCAGATTGCTGCACAGGAGAAGTACCATGCTTCCTGAATAATTTCTTTTTGATAACATATTTATTTTGAATAAAGAAAAGTTTTCCTAAATTATAGTTGAAATGATTTAAAATGGGATAAACATAAAACTGTTTTTATAACGCACTAAATTTGAAAATCTCAAAAATTTAAAGGCTGTTTGAGATCAAATTTATTTTTTATTTTTTAATTTATATTATATTTTATTTGTGTTTTGATTTAAAAAAAACATAGTACTATATTAAAAATAAATTAACATATTTTTAAAAACACTCAGGAAAAAATTTTAGTTGCTTTCAGTGTTTTGACAACCAAATTTTGTTTTTAATGATATAAAAAGATTAAATAAATGTATTTTTAAAAAGTATAAATACATAAATATGGTTAAATTAAATTGATCCCAAATATGTTAATAGTATCTCAATTTTCTGTCCATTTTCAACACAGTTGTACATGTAAGAATTTCAAACTGCAGTACTTTGTTAGAAAATAGATTTTCTTAAACCATAAATCAACACAATAATTGATTATCAATATCTTCATGAATAATGTTAGATCCTGATTCAACGGCCCCACACCACCTAAGTAAGAACTTGTTATAGGATGTAATCGTTTTGTTTCAATGGGAGAGAGGAATCGAAGTATCGGAGAAGATGGAGTGAATGGTTGGGTAGCCGAACAGAGGAAGAGGAAAGAAGGGGTTGCGTAAATGAATGAAGGGGGAGAATAAGCAAAAAGTTACGGGAAGCCAATGAGGTTTCACACAACAAATTGTCAAACGACTTACCTTTCCTGCTAAGAGGCTTGTCTCTGGTGAAGGAAGATGAGAGGGAGGAGTTTTCGTGTGGGTAGAGGAGATGAGGCCGACGTCCGAAGAAGAAGAAGAGAGGAAGAAGTCGCAAAGGAGCTTTCGGGTGTGCAATTCAATTATCGCATGTAGGAGTTTTCCCTGCTTGCGATCGTGCCTAGCCAAGCATCGAGGAAGAAGAAGAGCGGGTTTGGCATAACAAAGGTAGATTATGTTAAATTAGGTTAATATTAAAACATATATATATATATATATATTAAGTTTGGTTACATAAAGCATAATTTAACACTTAAATTTTCTTTTTGGCATACTGAAGCTTGAACCACTCGAGTAGTTCCGCTTACTGCTAGAAATTTCATTTCTTCACCTGTGAATGAATAAGGCTTCGAACACTTGGACCAGCTACCGCATAGAGTCTCTCAGATTCGCTTGCTTCTCTTACCTAAGATTTCACTCGACAAAACCACATAACAAGATTCATTTTGATTCTTTCATAATCAAAGGTTCATTTGTCGTCTTGCTTGCCATTTTTCTTTCTATATGTCATCGTGTAGATGCAGAGGGACAGGCCTACGAGAGGCAAAGGCACTAAAAAAAAGAAGTGAAGTCTTCCTAAGCAAAGACAAGATTCTTTCTTCCACGGACAAAAGAGTTCCATCCATCATTTTAGGATGATTCCAAAGACATTCCTGAATAGACTAGCAGGATATCTCACGTAGAAGAGAGATGATGATCGCTCAGTACCGTCAATGTTATCGTTTTACCAAGATTTCTCTTTCTTCAAGATAATGGTACTCATTCTAGCCCCAATCCTTTCTTATCCCTATAGACTCTGAGCACGAAAAGAGAGTCTTTCATTCTACAAGAAAAGAGTTCTATCTAGTGGTACTTCTCTTCCGTTACATTCATTGTAGCAATCTGGTCGAGCAGCTTGAGTAGGAAACGAGACCCTCTTTCGCTAAATCGATACTTGCATTTGTTTCACTAGAATGAAGAACGACTACCAGTGATCAAAAATTTCTTTCTATCAGTTCTCGGCTAAAGGTTGGTAAATGGCAATATTCTGATGATATCTTACTAAAAATAATAAATTAGCTAACTTTTATATCATATTTTAAGCTTTCGATTTTAGAAGAATTGACGTCAAGGCAAACAACAAATTAAGCGTCATCGAGGTAAGTACTTATACTTTTAAACAAAGGTAATAATTTGTATGTTCTCAAATATATTCGTAGTTGATGATATTTGTGTTTTTTATTTTGATTGAAATATTATTTTTTTTATTGGTCATATTGTTATGGATATTGTGGCTACTTACTCGTGCATTTGGTGTTTGTCTTATATAGTATGCTGAATTGAATGCGAGGAATAAATATATTTATGATGACTGCTTGTATGTGCATGATTGGCTATGATAGAACACCCCTTAATGGTACTAGTGAGAGACTACTATTGTACTCGTGCACGTAAATGGAAAAGAATATTGATATTAATGTGTCTTAATTGATATAATTTTTAGACGGTACATTCTGTAAAGATTGCATTGATATGAAATGATATTGATATGACAATGATATATAGCCATTTGAATAGCATGTCAAATGTTTACATTGATTTATAAAAAAGTTTAATTGACATGCATATTGTTATTTATTTTCCTTGTATTGTCGTAATTTAGAAGTATAAGTATTCACTATTTTGTTTAACTCACAATTTTTTTAATTAATTTTTCAGGTTTAATTAAATTATTAAAAGATGAGTGAAATAAAAAAAAATATTTATAGAAGGCACAGATAACCATCAACGAGGTAATTTTAATTGTAATGTTTTAATTTAATTTGATGAGTGACTCTTTTATTTGTTAAATTATTGATTAATATAGAATATTTAATTTACACCATCCGACCGTCAGTACTCTTCTTAGTTAGTTCCGAGCCCCGGGCTGAGTCGTGACATAAAAGATGTTGAATCAAAAATTGTCTTCTTGGAAACACACCCCGAGAGTTAGAGCATGTAAAGAGTAAATGGAGAGGGAGAGAGAGAGAGAGAGAGAGAGAGAGAGAGAGAGGGAGAGAGAGGGAGATTGCCTCAGTATAGAGAATCTAAAATTCTCTTTTTGATGTCATGACCTCCTATTTATAGAGGTCTCAAAATATAGTTACATAAAATGAAAGAACAGTTAATATAACTGTCCAAATAATTGAATTAACATGTCTGTCGAATAAAAATTACATTACAATGTGAATGAAAATCTGATGTCGGTCAACCTCCTGATGTTTGAGTTGGTTGACTCTGGCGACCGCCCGATGTTCGAGTCAGCTGATTATATCGACTGGTAATTTGATAAAAGTGCACATTTAGTTGATTGCGTTCACTCGTTTGGTGAATTTATCGGTCGAAAGCCAACGTCTGTTGATTCAGCTATAAAGTTGATCGACTGCTTGCGGGTGAAATTTCTGTTCTTTGATCTGGAACTTCGTCTGCAAGTCTTCTTTCTCATGGTTGCCTAATCCCCTTGAGATTCGTGCTAGCATTTTTGTAAGTAGTATAAATATTGGTACCCCGATTTTCTTGCTCACAGCAGCGATAAGAACAAGAAAATTAATAAGCAATAAATAGCATGATAATAAAGAAAATTGAATTAATAATCATGTTGTTTTTCATGCCCAGAAAATCCTATAAATAAGGGCAAGAGACTTGCGTTTGAGTTCATCTCATTCCAGTTTTTTCTGCAATCTTCTAACCGACTTCATGCAAACGATTTGAACAAGAAGGATATATACATTCTCCTTCTAGCCTTGCAAGGCCTTCAACTTCTTGCACCTACCACGGTAAAGAAGAAAAAGAAAAAGATCATAAAGAAAAAGAAGCGAGTGACACCCGAACCTGAGTCGGTCAACCAGGTTGCCTCTTCGGGTAGTCCTAGCACTCAATCGTAGAACAATTCAATGAAGGCGAACCCCTATTCGACTCTTAGCCCAAGCATTGGTGGGATTGCTGGCAAAATTCAATGAGTTGCTTCTTTTGAGGGTAGTCAAGGGAGGTAAAAAGAAGAGTAGGTGTCGGTCCTCCCCCTTCCCCTTTGCAAAATATGGATGGAGGTCCTCCGACTCAAGGAGTGGAAGAACTCTCCATGACCCTTTCTGAAATAAATAGACTTTTGAAATAAATAGACTTTTGGATATGTAATATATATATATATATATATATATATATATATATATATATATTCTTTCTGTTTATAAAGAGACAGTGAGATATATATTATATATATATATATATATATATATATATATATATATATATATATCCTTTGGCAGTTCTTTAATAATCCTTTGACATGATTTTTCATATAGAAGAGTCGACTTTCCCGAAGGTTCACACTAATGGCAAGCCTTATAAGAACATTGTTGACCCTGCCCAAACGACTATGATTGTACATCTAGGATCGATCACTGCACCTCTAGCATCGATTGTTGCACGTCTAGGATCAATCATTGCACCTCTTCAAACAACCGATTATATTTTATCAACATCGAACAACCACGTCAACAGTTCTCACCAGAAGCCATTGGAGGGTCGACAACTATCTTCCAATTCAATGGAGCGCCTGATCAGGGAAATGGCTGGTCCTTTAACCTAGGCGATTGGATATCCAATTGAAGCATCTGCGCATGAGTGGTTGGTTCATTGAGAGCAGTTGAAGGCGAAAGAATTCCGACTGGGCATGGATTACACAGTTGAAAGATTCATAAAGCATGGCCTTGTTAACGCCAACTTTTCTAAGTCGGAGGAATCGACAGCTCTTTTCCCCGACAAAGCCGAAGGTTCTTCGGAGGAAGAGGTTGAGGAAAGTGATAGAAACGAAGATCGCTTGACTGCTTGTTGATCCTTCATTTACTTAGGCAAAATATGTATTTATGCTTTTTTGTAATTAGTTCAAGAGAAATGAAATCAAACAATTGTAATCACTTTAGTATATATAAAAAGTCTTTCATTTAAATTCTTTATATTTGCTTTGAAATGCTTGTGATAGATCTGTGATGATTGATTGTTTGCTCAACTCGAAAGTGAGTCACTTGCTGTAAATCGACCGACGAAAATTACTCATACTCCATTCAAATCGTTTGATCAGATTATCGCCCCCAAAAAGACTTGCATTTGGGTTGATGTTTCAAACCACAGATCTTGTCATTAGTAAGTTAAATGACCGCTAAATATTGAACTCACAAGGAGAAATTTTTTACATCGATCGTTTACTCATCTCGGAAGTGAGGCTCTAGCTATCTGTCGACCGATGTAGATTAAAGGTTTACCAATCGTTTAATGTCCTCCATTACGATTGTTTGATCGGATTATCGCGTTCGGAGATACTTACATCCGGAGTGATGTTTCAAATCACGGACCTTGTCGTTGGTAAGTTGAATCACCTCCAGGGCTAAATCCCACACTTAAACAAAGTAACTTATGTATCGATCGATTGATCTACATTAATTAACTATTAACTTTTTGAATCGATCAAATGTTTTGCATTTCAATTGATCTTTTGAAATCGATTGACTATTTAGTATTTCAATCAACTATTCCTCAAGAGCCTTAATGAACGTTAACCCTGCCATGACCAATCGATCAGATTTCCATCCTGGTCAGTTTTACTCCTAACACTTAGCACGGATCGTGTCGATACCAGTGTGGGTAGCCACCAGGACTTATTTCTAGGATGATTTATTACTCTTTCGAGGATCTTGTCGCTAGCGAGCATAGAACCATCTCCAAAAGCTTAACCCTTATCGAATTGAGATATACTGGTTTACAACTCGAATGCTATGAATTGTTGATCGTTAATTGCAACCAGACACTTTCGATGCGTGCATTTTCGCTTGATTGGTTCGAGTTCCCCAAGCATTTAAAGATGATCGAAGTCAAATGTAATTCGATCAGGTTGAGTTTCCCGCATATTAAAACAATCGTCAAACATTATTTGCTCGGGTCGAGTTGCCCGAGCATCGGATAAACCTGAATATTATACTAACAAAATTAGGCAACTCTAATTTTCATTGTATTGATAAAATGATGATTTACATATTGGTAATGACTATCCTTTCGACATATACATAAGAAAATTTTCTAAGAGAACAATTTCCTTAGGCCATCTCGGCTCCAAGCCCGAGGAGTTCCTTCCAGCACAAGTCTTTAGCTTGTAAGCTCCCAGAGAGACATGTTGGCTAATTATGTATGGGTCGCTCCATCTTTGATTCAACCTGTCGACCGCTTGTCTACTGGTTGTTGGATCGGCTTTCTTCAGAACTAAATCTCCTGGAATAAATGTTCTGTCTCCAACATGTTTTTTGAAGCAACGAGCGGCCCGCCTTCTCACTCCTTCCTATCAAAGGGCTGAATTGGTTTGTTTTTTCCTCCGCGAGGTCGAAGTCAGCATTGCCCCCTCATAGTTGGCTTCCTACCATTCGACTAGATTCTCTTTTGTGAATGAAAAAGCTGTGACAGCCCTTTGACTATGGTGGTTGTATTCAACCGACAGCACCACCTCCATTCTGTGCGTCAACATGAATGGGATTTGGTCAGTCGCAATCTAAGGTGTCGTATGGATCACTCAAAGTACTGACAGTAGCAAGTCTACCCAGTTCTCCTTAGCTCCTTCGAGCTTCTTTCTCAATAAATTTAGGATAAGTTTATTAGCTGCTTCGGCTTTGCCCATTTGTCTGAGGGTAATGAACTGAAGCGATCTTTAGACCGATCCCCTGGCTCGCACGAAAGTCCTTCACTTGTCGGTCAGTAAATTGTGTTACATTGTCAGTGATGATTGCCAAAGGCAATCCATACAGGCAAATAAGATTCGATCAAATGAAATTTCTAACCAGCCTTGTGGTGATTCGAGTGATTAGTTTAGCTTCGATCCACTTCCAAGAGAAAGTTTTGTTGGTCTTTCGATGGACAAAAAGGCCCGAGAATATCCAACCCCCAATTGGCGAACGACCATGGGTTGGCAATCGGCTGAAGATTTCGAGCCACTGATGATGCAGAGGCGCATACTTTTGACATTGTCCACATATCTTCCAAAATTCCTCCGCATATATGAGAAGTGTAGGCCAGAAGTACCATTGTCGTTGCACCCAATAGAAAAAAAGTTTTTCCTCCATAATGGCTCCCGCATTTCCCATAGTGTACTTCCCGGAGGACGTCCTACGCTTCGTCTTCCCTCAAGCACCTCAAGAACACTAATGTGATCGATCGCCTGAAAAAGCTTTCCTTTGATCATCAGATACAAAACAACCTTGATTTTGAACCTTCAAGTTTGTATTGTCCTCCAATATCTTCCCCAATCTCCAAATAGAGAATGTAAGGATCCATCCAATTTTTTGAACCTTCAACTGTTATCTCCATCGTCTCAGATTCCTCAATTGTCAGTCGAATAAGCCTGTCAGGCACCCTGCCCAGTTAGATGTGTTTAGTTAGGATATCAGCAAAGTGATTTTCCTCCTGAACAGTGTGCTCGATCCGGAAGTTTATGAACCTTTTGTCTCCTTCTTTGTCTTGGCAAGGTATTTAGCCATTAATTCATCTCTCGCATTGAATTCTCCATTGGCTTGTCATACAACCAGCAGTGGGTATGATTTTACCAATAGATCTCTAACGTCTATTTCATACGTTGGGCGAAGCCCAGGAATTAAAGCTTCATACTTTGTTTGATTATTCGCGACATCGAACTCCACCAAAATCAAGTGATAAGAGATGCTCCCCAATTGGATTGCTTAAAGCCAGTCCCAGATCAACGACCGCCTATTTGGAAGCTCCATCAATGCACTAGATCCATGTTCAATTGTTGTCAATATTTCCTTCGACCAATTCCTAAGTCCCGAGAAGTCTGCCAAGAAATCAACAATCGCTTGAGCTTTGATGGCCTTTTGAGGGATGTGAGTTATATCAGACTCACTGAGCGGCGTAAGTTAGATATATTGCGCAAGGTTTCTTCGAAAAGCTCCCGGTGAAAGAGACAAGTGTCGAAGAGGACTTCTGGAATCTCGGCATGTGTTTTTCATGACAGATCGGAACAAGAAGGGTTTGGAGTAAGTCCTATATGTTTCCTTATTTTTAGAGAGGAAACTGTTGTGAATTTCATAGTGGAATTTTTTTGGTGGTGTAGCTTCATGGTTATTTCCCATTCTCAAGTTTTTTCACGTAAAATTCTCGTATAGTTTTCTGGTTATTTTGATTGTGTTTCCATTTAGATTTTGTTCTAGTTTTCTCAAATCTTGTGTGATCTTGTTATTTCATAGTGTGGTTTAGTTTTTTATTGATCCTAAGCCCAGATAAAGTTGGGAATTATTCTCGTTATTCCTATCAAGAAAATGTTCCTAACGAAGGCAACCAAGGCCTTAACAATAATGCCGCTATAAAGGTTTTTGAAGCCCTCATTGTGAATCAGCCGGTTGAGGTAAGAATTCACCTTCGAATTTGTTGACTTTAAACTTCCTTGCTGAATATGATACTATTTTACTTGTCAAATATTAGTTACTGAGAGAAATGCGTCGATTTCTCCAACAACTCGAGTTCATGAAATCCATGAGACCTATGTCAGCAAAAATAGATGAATCCTGAGTTATTTAGTATGACTTCAACAACTCTGCAAGTTCGTGTAAAGGTTAAAATGAAAATGAAATTTGAAGAATTTTCAATGGATATATTTGAAATTCAAGACAGCAGTTGAAACAGAAAATGCCGTAAAGTTAGATCAACTTTCTAAGTTAAAAAGCACCTTTGACGATATGAAAGATCAATTCAACGGTATGAAAACCCTCTTTAAGAAAATGAGGAAGCAAGTAGCTTACATGACTTCTTGATTAATTATTTTTAAAAGATACCTGAAGCAACTTAGTCGAACCAACACATCATTCGAATCAACACATCATGCTAACTTCAAGAGATAGATCGGAAGTGAGACCTACAAACAACAGGATGGGACCAAGTAGAAGCACACAATCTAGGAGAGCTGCTTCACAGTCAAGTGAACCATTATGAACTTAGAAAATTTCATGTATTTTCGCATGTATAAAGGTTGTATTGTATTCATTTTACAAATTTTATGCAAATTGCATAATGGGCATGTGTATAGATGAGTTTGTGTGAACCAAAGTATGGTGGATTGACTTATGGGATAACCACCTTAATGCTTAACCGTACATAGTAGAGCATTGGGCGAGTAGTCACTGAAGGTAGTACAGAGAGTGGGTGAGTTGGAGAAGTGCGTAGTTACCAAAAAAAAGTGGAAGTAATAGGGGGTTTCAAAGGGGTGGATGGTCACCGTTGCTTGAGTTTGTGTGTGTTGTGAATTCTATTTAAAAATGTTGTGTGGAATAAACTAAATGTTATGTTGTGAAGAAAATTTTAAAAAATTGAGAGGAAGACTAAAATGGTGGAGGGGCTTGATGGCTTCTTCAATGAAAATAGTTTAGTGATCATTAATCAACACTAGATTTTGGCGATTTTGGTGATTTATTCAAATTTTCTTGTTTGATACTTTTTGTGATTTCTTTTAGTGAAGTCTGTGTTGTTAAGGAATGTCTTAAATCATATTGTTCATTTTTCTTTCATTTCTATCCCATTTAAATTCCTTCTTAATCCCTTTTACAAAGGTTGGCTAAAATTCAGCTCAATCTTACCTAGTTAGGATTTTGGCTCCATTTGGGTAAACTAATCCGCTTTAGAAATTTTCAAAATTTTCAGAATTGATCTATATCCCTAGTAGATTAATTTCCATAAAATTTTATTCTATTATTATTTTTATTCAGCCCAAAAATCCAAAAACTAAGCCATAGTTTAGTTTCTGTTTTTTCACTTTCAGTTATCTAACAATTTTCAAAAATCATAAAAATTTTCAAATCAACTTTAGGATATTTATCTTTATTTTCAAGTGAAATTTTAAAATTTACTTCTGTACATTGAAACCTGGAAGAAAATTACAATAATTTTGGACTCTACCGAGATTTAACATAGTAAATATTTCTCACTCAATTACTCTATCAAATCATTTTTTAACACTCACATTCACTCTAAATCATTTATATACATCATTTTAAACTTCTAGAGTTTCACAAAAAGATTTCGCCAACCATATCAGTCATAAAGCAACTTCTCCAAGACCCCAAAATAACTCTTAATGAAGCTAAGGAACAGTGATTTTATTTCTTCTCTTTTTTTTTTTTGTAATAATAAAGAGAAGATGAATGGTTATCTATTTAACCATAATTGGTAAATTTAAGAACATTATGGTGTAAAATAATTTTTTAATAAAAAATGATGTCTTTTACTTATTATTACTTCTAAATTCGAAAAGCCTTTCAAAATTTGAGCTTCATTTTCAAATCACTTATTTGTCCTTTCTATTACATTTATAATTAAAATTCTTTTGAGTCTGATTTATCTTCTTTTAATTACATTTTTTCATTCTTTTGAGAAACCCTAACTCTTTTCAGTTTCACCATCATGTTCATCTTCCACATCCTCTTCCTCAAAAATGGATTTCATCTTCTATAACAGCTGTCCGTCGTTCAGCGAGGACCAAAACTTGGAAGGATCTCACTAGCAGCGAAGCTAGCTAACTACGTATTCAATGATGCGGTTATCCTTAGCCAAGCTAAAGATGACAATACTCTAAACTCTCTATACAACCATGAAATCTGTGGCAATCAAAATCAATTTTGGATTGATATTTTGGGCTCTAGAAAGCTTTAAAGCTACATGATAAGTTGAAACTTCCAATAAATAGCCCTTAAACAATTGGCATTGATGCATGCAATAAAAGACGGGACCGGTCTGCTAGCTATGTGACTAGCAGGGGGAAAGCCCTACTCGAAATTAAGCTTGATATGTTGATAAATACTGAATTTGGATGGCCAATATGCCCAAACCAGATGTGGGAACGAGGCACTCCGGTTAACTTGAACAGATTCAAATTTATCACCTATCATTGGGGTTCAAGATCAGACCACAGGCAAGCTTTTGTTCAGGTAGAACCAACAAAAACGAAGGGTTTTTTGGCAGATTTGAGTTAATTGAAAACATTCTAGTCTGAACCTTGGAAAATACTATTAGATTGGATAGAGAATGAACTTGCAACCTGGAGTTAAAAATGAAACTCAAACTTGCTAATCTATTAAGCGGGTTGACGCTCAGATTTGACCATGTGCATTGGTCTTGCTCGATCACAATAATAAGTTGGCCAATTTTAACCATAACTCTAAGCACAGTCAAGTTAGTTTCAAAAGATGAATTCAGCAGAAATTTATAAACAAGATTTTCCAAAAAAAAAAAAACTGAATGAATTCATCTTTGCAATCTTAGTGTTCTCTCAATAACCATTGAGCTTATAAGAAACCCGTCGGCGTCTATGAATTTCAACCGTATAAATAACTCGTGGTATATCTATAAAGTCCATCAATCATCCATAACGATATTTACATTTTCAGATCCAAACAGAATAATGTACATTACCCTATACGTTCCAAACAAAGACAGAGGATAAAAGAAATGACATTCCATTGTAATAAAGGTGTTTAATGTTAAATAGGGAGGAATAGATGTTCAAAAGGAGGTACCTATTCAGATTTCCTTTAAGAATGGGAAGTTTTCTTTCCAGTACTGCTTAATAGCATCAACAACTTTAACAGAGAAGCCCTTGTCTTCAGGGTAGTAAGCAATCGGATCTGCTAAAAGAGGTTCTGGAAGATTCAGAACGCCCTCCAGAGTTGCATGAAGACAATATGCCGAGTATGTGACATGATAGCCTCCTTCTTGAACAATCAATAGGCGCCCATTGGAGAATTGATCAGATAGAAAGCGTGATAATTGACCAATGTGCCTATAACCAGCCATCGTTAGGCATTGCCTTCCATTTGGGTCAAACTGAAACAGCATTACCAAGAAAGATTTAAGCTCAAAATAAAAGGTAATGGTGGTTCAATTCGATCATTTCAAACAAGAGTGAAAATCAGTCATTTTAAAAGTGTAATTGAGGCATGCCTTGTGCTAATGCAGAACATAGAACTAATGCCTTAAAGAATTGGAATTGAGGTGTTTCCTGAAAGAAGTAAACACCTTAAAGGCTGAGGAGTTCAGGATACGCCTTGGTGTACTTTACCTCTAAGGCATACGGTTCAGAGAAGAGCAACAAAAACCGTTCACAGTTTTGATATTACGCAAGTTTAAGAATGACTTTCAGGACATTTAAGAAAATCCATGCCTAATTAACCCTAAATCTGTGAAAAAAAGCATGACAATTTGGAATGATGTTATACGGATGCACCTAACCTTCACATTTCTTGGCCTAGTAGGAATAGAGGACCTCCTATTTGGTTTAAAGAATTTTGCAATTATTCAATTTATGTCAATTATCAATTAAGCAGCTCTGCAGTTGATTATGTTTATTTTCAAATTTTATCTGTACCCATTCAGTAAGTTAAAAACAAATAAGCTATTTTGATTTTATTATTTTTTTGTTTTTGTTTTTTTTTGTTTTCCTTCCCATTTTTTGTCTTCTTTTATTGCCTTCATTTTTTATTCTTCTGACAATTAGACTATCAATTGGTGCTCTCTTCATAGTACTCTTCTCCCAATAATCATCCTTCAATTTGACATCCGCATTGCCTTCACGTGACGCACATTGACCAGCCGTCCAAGATCCAAATTCTCTTGGCAACGTTTGCCTCCACCCATAATCTGCCATCTTGACTCAATCCCATCGCATCATCCTTCGGCTCCTTTCTATAGGCAAACCATGTACCTCAACACTGTACTATGTTCCCCTCAACATCTTCCCGATCTTCATCATGACTGATAGCACTCACTCCACAACCCAAAGCCTTGTTGACTGCCTCACACGTCTTGTTCATCATGATGAGCAATTTTATTCCATTGGGGAACTGTTGCAAAAAATCATTATAAAGTTAGTCAAATTGGATGTAAGCCAAGATCAGGTAATCAGCAGAAATTCATCTTCTCCTTCAAGTACTAGTCATCAGCTCTTCTATGTTGAGCCTTTCCCATCTGTTAAGCTGAAGATGCTCAAATCATTGGGCAGTAATCCAGAAATTTGAATTCGTAACATACACCATATTTATGTGTTTCATAGACTTTCTAATCTCGAAAAATTATCTCTCCTTTCTTTTCATTTACTGAACCTGCCAAAAAAATGGCTTGTATGGGTAGAACGAAATCACAGTGTACATATCTAGCTTGAGTTTTTGCAACTTCTTCATTCTAGTTTTAGTCCATCACAATATTGAGATCATGGGGAAAAATTAACAAAATTAATTCAACCTTCGCTGGTTCGAGATTATCAGAAAATATTTGAACAATTATCAAATATCATTCTAGAAGTAGGGATAGCCTTCTGGCAACCTTATTCTAAATCAGGTCTTAAACCAGAAATTTGAAAGGAAGTCCCCATCCATAGGCCTTATTCTCTGGCTCAAGTGATGGATTTAGTCAAGGTCATCAAAGATAAACTCCATCATATTTCATTATCATCATTCTTTTCATCTACCACCTGAAATATTATTGGCATTCTTCTGAAACTTTATTTTTTAGCACTTTCTAAAGCAAATTTTATTTACCACCACCAACAACAAGCCTTTATCCCACCAAGTGGGGTCGGCTACATGAATCTTTTTTTCTCCATTGTGTACTATGGAGTGTCATATTTCATTTAATTCTAATAAATTGAGATCATTTTTATGCAACATGCCTAAGTCTTTTTAGGTCTACCTCTACTTTTCTTAACATAAGCCAAATCTAAAATATCTACTCTCCTAACTGGGTCAAATCTAAAATATTTTCTCTCCTAACAGGGCCATCAAATGACCGATGTTTAGTGTGACCAAATCATCTAAGACGACTCTCTCTAATATTGTTTGTTAGTGGAGCTACTCCAACCCTTTCAAGATATATTCATTTCGTATTTTGTCTGTAAGTATAAAGCCACTCATCCACCAGAGCTTTCTCATCTCAACAACAATTAATTTTTTGCTTCTCTTTTACAAGCCAACATTGCCATAAAACATTGCAAGTCTCATCACCATCTTATAATTTTTTTCCTTTAGACTAAGTGGTACTTTTTTACCACAAGTCTGATGCATTCCTCCACTTCAGTCATCCAACTTGAATTCTACTAATACCATCCCCATCAATATCACCATCACTTTGAACAACGAACCCAAGATATCTAAACTTTCACTCCTTTTAATGATTTGATCACCCATTTTTACAACCTTGTCATTGAAACTAATACGCTAAAATTGCATTCAATGTAATCAGTTTTAGATCTACTCAAACATAAGCCTTTAGAATCTAAATTGACCACCATAATTCAAGTTTTCCTGAACTCTCTCTCTCTCTAATCTTATCCACAACAAAAGTATCATCAACAAAAAACATACACCAAAGTACATCCTCTTGTAGGTGTCTAGTAAGAACATTTATAACTAAAGCAAAAAGATATGGCTTAAATTCAATCCCTTATGTAATCCAACTGAAATAGGAAAATAATTGGTCAATTATCCTTATGTCCGAACATGAATAACATCTATAGTATATATAATTTTAATGACATTAATATAAGCAATATCAACACGCTTCTTTTCTAGAACTATCCAAAGTACTCATGAAAATCATATAGATATAAGCTTTGCTAAATCAATAAGCTTTTATAAATATAACCAATATCAACACGTTTATTATAAGCTTTTATAAATCAATAAAAATAATATTCAGATCATCCTTACTCAAGGTTTAGTTCAACAAACCTCTCAATAAATATATAGCTTCCATAGTAGACTTGTTCGACATGAATCTAAATTGATTTTGAGAAATTTTGTTCGACATGAATCTAAATTGATTTTGAGAAATTTTCTATCACATCGTAAACCATGCACAATCACTCTCTCCCAAAATTTTAATGTATGATATATTACCTTAATTTTTCTAGAATTTGCACACTCTTGTATAACCCCTTTATTCTTAAAAATAAGAATCAATTGACTTTTTCTTCACTCATAAAAAATCCTTTTAGTTTTTAAAATAATATTTACAATTTTAGTAAGTTAAAAAATTTTCTGATCTTCTAAATGTTTTCACACTTCTATTAGAATGTCATTAGTTCCTAAACTTTTCCAGACTTCATTCTCTTTAAAGTCTCATCAAATTCCATTTTACTAATGTGACAGTAGAAATATAAAACTTTATTATTATTTATGATATTAAGATCACAAAAATTGATCGTATTTTTACAATTTTTATTAAAATTTATTAAAATATCTCATCCACCTATTTTGAATATTCTCATCTTAAAAAAATATTTTTTTTTTCATTCTTAAAACTCTTTATTTGAATTAAATTTAAATCTTCTTATCTCTTTTTTTGGCAGTTTATACATATACCTTTCATACACTTTAATACATAATCTAATATAAAAATCACTAAAAGCATAATTATCAGTATTATAAATTATTCTCTTAAACTCCTGTTGACCTCAATTTTCGTGAGGTCTATTATTTCTCGTAGGAATTAGGATCTAGCCTTAGGGGTCTTCCTACGACTATCTTAGCACCTTAGAAGTGGTGCCCGCCTCGTTTTAGTTCGACCTATTTCCGTCCTCTTTTGGAGTTTCGCGTGTGCGGTATCGACTTCTAACACTTAGAAGGATGAAACCGACATGAGGAAACCCAAAATGGATTCCTATAGGACCTTTCCGAGCCTTA